AATTTTCCACCACTACAAAATAAATATACCATGTCATTTGTATATTTAAAAGTATTGTCATCTATGCAAGCTTTATATCTTCTTTACTTTCCTTTATCTGGCCACACTTTGGTCAATATAAGAAAGCTGGACACATAATGTCAACACATTAGTAACAGTAACAAAGCCAGTCCATATAAGGGACTATTGCGAATTTCTGTGTCTAATTCAGGTAAACAGGCCCTAAGTAATCATGTACACCATTTCAAGTTTCCTTTTATAGGGCAGTATACAACTCCATTCCTCCATGTCATATTTCATCTTCAAGCTTCAACTACTTGAACATGATGACAGCACAAACTTTTGAAATATGAGTCACTCAGTGTTATGTTCCTGAAAGCTCATGGGTTTATTTGACAATGTCACATCTCCTACACATTTATTTTAGTATTAAATCACAATAAATGGAGAAAAGGAAGCCACCAATATACTAATCCAGCATCTATCTCAAAGGACCCAGGAAACCCACAATAAACCACAAGAGCCAGTGCCTGGTCTGAGATTCAAATCGGGTATGTCACAAATAGCAATCAGACATGCTACTACCTAGCTCACCACTCAATGTATCCTGAAAAGCTGTGTAATAAATCTTTAACATGTAAGTTCTGTTCCAATCAGTTTTGTCTGAACACTATCTCTTCATCATCACCATGGCTTTGAGGCCCATCCAGCCTCTTACCTAGTGGGTACCTGGAATTCTTTCCCTACAATTCTACCAGGATCTGAACCCCCGCCATCCAATCCATTCCTGCATTGATTTGTGGCTCTACTGAACAATTTAAATATGCACCATACATATTTTGAAATTCCAAATACAGATATACAAGAGCAGCCACTTACCTCACCAACCAGACAGAAATTTCAATAGGGAGGTAACTAATTTAAAAAAAAAACTCCACCACTGTAAAGTACCCCAGACAATGGTGTATGACCCGTACGTTGCTAATAATATATATATAGAGTTCCCTTAAGTTTTGAGCAACAGGTAATATTGGAGTTTTCACATGACTGTTACAAGATACACACAATATCTCCAACATTCATGCCAATGCAAAGTCACAATTGTTTTTGCCAGTCCATGAGAACACCGTGAATTGTTCTGATCTCACTGCATGCAGTGATAATTAGCTCCTCAAGATGGTAATGCCTATGGTTCCATACTTATGGGACATCTTGTAGTGCAGACTGTATCTACCATCACCTGCACAGCGTTATTCTGGTAAAGATCACAAGCATGTCACCTGAAACTGCTGTACATCACCAAAACCAAAAGATAAAACATGGTTCTCTTCACTGAATACCATGAAGGGGACTGTCTACTTCATATGCGAGATAATTCCCAGGTCAGTTATGTCCCACCAGCACCCAACAGTATGACAGTAAATTCTGTACTCATCCTCCAGCTGACACCTCAGGCCTCTGAGTAGAGGAGTTCCAAAGTTATAAATCTATTAGGCTGATGTCCACTGATCACAGAAGCCCAGCCACAGAGGATTCAAGACCACAACAGGATAACCTAATCATGGATGCTGTCAGGGAGGAAGAAGCCAGGCATCTGGCACACCAATCCCTGGATTTTTTTAGAAAATCGAAATTTAAATGAGAGAAATTTACCAAAAATTAAAATATTTCTGTTAAATGTGGTCTCATCTACATTTCAATATAATTGTCTTCAACTCTGGGGCAATCTGTAAAAAATATTTTTAAATGACTTGAATGTAAGTTTCTTAATTAGATTCTTTGGCCCCTTTTTCAAAAGATCCTGGCAGCACTCATGCCTACAGTGCCTTATGCAACATGATGATTCAGTACTATCGTGTAACAACCATGTATCTTCGGCTTTCATGGCAACTAAATGGGTGATCAGCATGTTCAATATTATTGCAACCCATCACTTCTTGATGATGAAAACAAATATGGATCTCTAAATCTTCAGACTTCTACTTTGTATGGACACAGCTTATCACATCAACAACAATTCCTTACATGTAATCACCAATTTTCATCTTTCTGCTCCGGCCTTTTAACTCCAAAAAATGAGACTGTTATAACTCCACTATGAAGCATTTTTAGGCTACTGTCCTTTCTTAAGGAAACAAAATGAAATGTATGAGAGAAACATGCTCCTGCTCCCTGTCCCTCTCCCCCCAACTTTTTTTTTTTGGGGGGGGGGGAGGTAGTCCTCTTTCAACTTTTTTGTCAGTCGACTTATTTCCAGTAAGTTTGGGACAAACATTTGGTGTTGTGAGGCCACACCAATTGCACATATCCTACAGTCATTAATTATAACGTGGCAGACAAAATTGTAAGATCCAACACTAGCAAACACTTCATGTAGGCTCCTGATACTATACAGTGTGATACTTTGAGATTTATCTGATAAATTTAATGCAGTCAAGGTCTGTGGTCAAGTAATAAATTCATCCTAAAAATATGATGATGACAACAGCAATAATGCTTTGTAACAATTTTACAACAGCAACCAATAGAACATACTGACTGGAGGACAATTCAGTCCTACGATAATTTGTGCAGGAACTAAGCACAATAACCCTTCACAGTTAAGCCGCATTTAATTGTTGGAATATGAATTTATATAACCTAAGTATAATGTTAACACCATACGATTTGTATAATTGGACGTCTTTACAACAAGACAGTAGGCTTTATAACTTTTGCCTGAAACTGTTTTTTGATGCACAATGACCAGGGCTTCCATCATGCACCTTATTTACTCCATGTGAAGCAGCTGATATAAAGACAACCCACGAAACTTGCCAAGCAAATATATCCTCAAATCTTCTCTCTCATTGTTTGTATCATCATACAAAACATAACAAAACCACTTTCCTTCATGACTGGTCTAATGTGTTATCACACAGCATGGATTCTGATCACTTTCTGTTCTACTTTGCTTATTCTATATGAACAGATATTCTTACGACACCATCATGTTTGTGTCTGTTCATCACCGTATTTGTCCTCACTTAATAACTTCCAAACTAATTCGCAGATTTCCTATAGTTACTAACATCAATATGGCGGTTGTGAAAACCTGTGAGGTGGAATGATACTAGCACCACCTAACGAAGGGATGTGAAATTCTGTGTGGTAACAGATCTTAAAAACATATGCAACTTTTGTCATGGTAATTTTATCTTGAATGCAAAATATGGTAACAACATGAAATCTAGTATATTTACTCGTAGTTTCTGTTGTGACATTATGCCACTATGGACCTAGGCATGTAGAATTTTGAACGGAGATAGATCATAAAAATACCTCTGAAGCATTTATCATATGTTAACAATTACACATGGAGCAACATTGCAAAACTCTGATATCATATCTAGCAAACAGTCAGAATTCATGGAAAATTATGTACAGAAATGTTTTTTTTATTGCTAGTGGGGTGGGACTAAGTCTCATGTACTGCGGCCACTTGTGGCCTATTGTACCAGCCCAAGATGATAGGTGAGGGTGATTGTGGAGCAATTGGTGGAATGAAGATTAGCAGGGGGAACCGAAGTATTCGGAGAAAGCCTGCCCCAGCACCACTTTGTTCACCACAAATCTCACTTGACCAGACCCGGGATCGAACCCGGGGCGCCGCGGTGGGAAGCCAGCAATTAACCGCTTGAGCTATGGCACGGCCAACAGAAATGGGTTAATAAACTGTGTAACTTTTAATTTATAATTCTTCTAGCCTGACTAGAAGGAAAGCATCATTAACTTATTCCCTGAATTTCTTATTCTAGCCATGCACTTAACATAAGAGAAACTGTTATAAAGGCTGAACAGGAGCCCCTTAAGATTTTTAAGGACTGAACATGAGACCAAGATGATTTTCAGTCACACAGAACATTCAAATGTTTCCTTACTTCAAAATTTTACATGCAATACTACAATTGCTTTTATTTTTATTTTGATGAATTCATAATTTCAATGGTGCTGTCACATATTTCCTCTCAATTTGTATAACTGTACTAAGAAATTCCCTCATGCTAATTATATAACATCAGTTATATACATGTAGAATGATTCCATTCAATGAGGATGAGATCAATGGCTCATGAGAGAGATAAGAAATGCATACAAAATGTTCACTGAAAATCCCAAAGGAAAAAGACTGCTTGGGAAACTTAGGTATAGATGGGAAGATAATATTAAAATGTATCTTAAAGAAAAAGAGTTGGAGGGTGTGGTCTGGATTAGTGGCAGGCTCTTTTGAAAATGGTACTGAACCTTTAGGTTCCATAAGGGCACAGGACTTGCTGAATGACCATAACAGATGTAGAAAAGTATCTCTTGAGTTTTTTTGACCATTACAAATATAAACATGGGTCAACCAGTCAGCCAAGGAACAGGGAGGGTGAGGAAGACTGCAAAGTGACAGTGCATACAGACAGAACCAAATTCTTCCTTGTATTTCCCCTTGCCCTCTTTCTGTAATGTCGCTCAGGCTCAGAGGTGTTTTGCATGGAGTATACCTTCTCAAGGAGTTATTACAGTTATCATAACCCAGCTGTTTTGTTCAACAAATGATTACTAATCAAGCAGCTATCTTACAACAATTTATAACCTCTTTAAATGCAATCATAGATGGAACCTCTGATGTAACTGCTAAATTAATCCTGGGCATATAGCATCATTGGTCATGTCATATACTAATCTTTCTTGCTGCAAGAATCCCAAGAAGCCAAGAGTGGTGCTACTTTCATATGTCTGCACATGACTTACCCATATTTACCTTTATTAACCAATTACATTCACAATACTCTCTACTTTAAGTCTGATTCACATTTAAACAAATTATCAAAATAAACACTACTTATTACAAATCCTATACCAGAATATGAAGCCAAACACTAACCTCAGTCAACTGTTAGTTACTTCCTTGGAGAATTCTAAGATAAATCAGGAGAGTTCAGTCACCAATTACCACAATCTCCTTTCCACAGTGACCATGAGTATGAGCCCATAGGAGCTCCACCTCCCAAGGTCCAGGAGTCACACATAACAGATGAATTAGACCTTGGAACAGATGAGGAGTTTGATGCCATCAAGGTGGCCGCCAAGTCTGAGACCAGCAGTACCAGCAGCCGAGAGCGTCGGTTTCTGCGCATACCACTTGATGATGAGCTGGTGGTCCTCCCAGGTGATGGTGAGGATGAGGATGAAGCCATGGCCATAAAGTCCATGGAGGGTGAAACTGGAGAAGCAAAAGCAGCAGGAGTGGCAGAAGAAGCAGAGCAGATGTCTGCCCACGAACTGCAGTCCCAGCTGGAAGACCGCTACTTCTCAGCTACACCGACCACCACCGAATCACGCACGGACTGTGATGTGAACACCAGCCAGCTGGACTCCTCGGGTCTGGAAGACATTCCCCTCAAGCGAGAAGCCAGGAAGAAGCAACAGGATGCCACCCCAGATAAGCAGTCAGAGGTACCCACCTTTCAACAGAGACTTCGCTCACAGGCTGGGAGGATCCACACAAAACTAAGGAGCATCTCTAAGCCTAACATCAAATTTCCAGAGCGGCCAAAGTTCAACTTTCCAGAACGTCCAAAATTTCACTTACCAGAACGCCCAAAATTTAACTTGCCTGAACGGCCAAAGTTTTCTATGCCAGAGCGCCCAAAGTTCAATTTTCCACAGATGCCAAGCTTCACCACATCCAAGGAACGCAAGGCCCGATCTCACCACACCAGCAGCACAAGGCGACCTCTACGTGAACGATCACAGTTATCATCAGCATCTACAACATCATCAGCAAAGAAGAATATTTTTGACTTTGATTTCAAATCTTATCCTCGCATCTTCGATCGCAAGTCTCGGCGTGCTGATTATGCAACTTCATCTCCAAAACCTTCGCGTGGACAAACTCCTCCTCCTCAGATGCCAGCCAGGAAGAAGGGTCGCTGGCTACAGCGATTCACAGACTTGAAGTACATTGATGAACCGAATTTGCCCACCGGAGGTGAAGCTCAGAGTCAAACTGGAGATGATCTGGAAGGTGAAGAATTCAGGGAAGACGTTGATATGGCAGAAGGTGCAGAAGGTTCTGAATCAACAACAGCATTCAGGGATAAGGACTATGGATATGCAGTGACTATAGATGACACACAGCAACCTACAGACACTGCAGAACAAATCAGAGCAAGTTCTAGCAGTGTCCCTGAGTCAGACCGTGAGGCACGGTCTTCAGGCAGCTCCTCTCTCCGCCACCGAGCAGGTGTTCTTGAGGAAATTGACTCAGATGAGTTCTTCCTTCGTGAGAAGGGTCTGAGTCAAGAAGATGTTGATGTCGGTCGTTACCTAACCTCCGAGATCCGCGAAGCATTCCGTGCCCCTGTCAGTGCACTCTCACAGATGGACAATTTCGAATATTATGACGATGAGGAAGACATTGAGAATTTGGGTCAGCAGTACCGCAGTACTCCTGAGAGAGGGCCCACACGACCGGCGCGGACAAGGTCATTTGGAACTCGTAAGAGAGCCAGTAAAAGCAAAGAACCAAGTCCAACTGAAGAAGGGGCCTCTTCACAGTTCTTCAATACTTTCCCGCCTTTACGACCGAAAAGAAGTCGCCGACTTCATCAGCAACGGCCTGAGAATATTGAAGATGGAGATGTCTCAAAAGAAAAAACAGAAGAAGGCTATTTAGAAGAAATGGAAGTGAAAGAGCTAGATGAACCGATCATCTGTTCCAAGAAGGACATTCCATCTTTCACAGTTACTGATGAAGATGACAAATTCATGCACCAATCGACAGAAGAGCTCAAGGAGCATCTTTCACATCCCTTAGAGGACCACTGGCAGACTGAGGAAAATTCAGTTGCTGAGGTTCAACCACCAGTACCACCGAAGAGAATACGGAGAAGCAGAAAAGAGCTCACTGCAGATACTCTCTGTAATGGGAATTACACTAAAGAGGACTGGCTGGAGAATTTTGAAGCAGATATTATACCTACAGAAGAGGTGAGTAGTTACATGTAGGAGTTTTCATATTTATTAAAGTTGACCTTGTATTCATGTTCAAAATTTCATTTTAAGATTCTTTACCCCTCCAGTCCTAATTCACAACTTATTTTATACAAGAAACTGTCTTTACATAACACTTTAACACATATTTTAAAATGTTTGTATATCTACACATCCAGGGGAAAAAAAACAACATAATTTTCCCAATCCTAACATTGGTATTACAGACACACATTTTAAAAATACCAACTTTTAAAAGCCTTTCAGATGTGAAGTGTATCAAAGAGGCTAGCAATTTTTATCACTATGACTTTTTTAAGTAACCAGGGCTATTCTACTTTCAAAGACTATACAAATGGCATAACAGAAACACTTTCAAAAATATTTCATACATATGTATGTTATATAATTAAAATGATTACTTCAGAGCATAATTATTTAATAGCAGTTTCTTCAGAAAATTTTAAATAAAATTCATCAGACTCTTATCCTCACTTCTGAAATGAGAATAATAATTTTAAACTATAGGAATTAAATTTAAATTTAAATCTCCTTTCTGTTGTGCATAGTCTTTATCTGGTCCCATGAAAGTACACTTTGTAATTCCATATTCTATGGCAACAAAATATTAACACTATTTTCTACTTAACTCTTGGATAATGTTAAATCAGAAAGACCACTGTGCACAACTTGAAACTACAGGATGTAGAATTAGAGTTTACATTACTTGGCTACAATAAGGAACACTGATGCTTTTGTCCCACACTGCAGGTGATGGTGATGCGAATGGAACCAGATTACATAATTCCAGCAGCTCCTCCTGAGGAATTTGAGTTGCCTCCTGAGCCACCCAGAAGAGGACGCAGGAAGAGTTCCCATGCCACGTCCCTTGTGGATGAAGACCGCACTTCACGTGGAGCTTCATCACTGCCCTCAGAGCATGAACATATTGCTGAGGACCTTCCTTGTGATCTTAGCCTCCCAGAAATTCCAGGTTATGCAGCAGTTGAGAAAACCATCACCAAACCACGCCGTTCAAAAGCACTGCGTCCACTGGCTCCTGGTCGCCGCAAGAAATCTAACAGTCATCAACGCACCTATCCACATTTCTACTCACTTCCACACAGATCCCCACCAATTCGGCCACTGAGGAACTACAGCACTTTAGGCCCATCACGCCCACCAAGGAAGCACAAAACTCTTGCATTACAGGATGTGGAACATAAGAGCGAATCCTACATTGAGATAGATGACGATATCTTGGAGCCATTATCTCTTGGGAGTGCCCGTGACCTTCAGTCTGGTGATATTATAGAAAGGATGAAAGGGCGGCCACTCCCGCCTCCTCCACGACCCCCCAGAAAAGGTCGAGAAAGTCGAGAAATGCAAGAGGAGGTTACAGGGAGCCAAGTATCAATGTACAGAGATGAAAAAGAGAAAGAAGAAACTGAAGAGCCATTTGATGTCAGCACAGTGGAACCTCTGGGTGCCTTAAGTGACATGATCTTCTATGCTCATCCAGGAGTAACTTCATATGATGATGAAAAATTGGATGAACACCTTGGAACAGAAAATGAAGATTTACTGAAATCTGAAATAGAAATGGAAGAGAGGGAACCATCTCCTGTCTTAGAAGAAGGAGAAATCAGGGAAACATCACCAATTTCATTGGAAATTCCAGTGGAAGAAGTGTCCGTGGCAACTCAAACAGACCCACTGCCAGATGACATCTGTGTAGTGACAAGGGATGAAGACGTGCCAGTGAATGCTGGCACGGATTCCATACGTTGGGAACCACTACCGTTGAAAACTTCTGATTTTGGGCAGCAGACAAATCCTGAACCTGTTTCCTCTCCAACAGTGATAGAGAAACCCATTCCATATTATGTTATGCCAGATCCAGATATAGAGATTGAACTGAAGGCTCAGAAGTTACAGGTATCTGAGTTAGATGTAGAAAGACTACATGTGGGTGAGTTGCAGGCACAAAAAATATTGGTTTCTGATATTGATGGCATGTCAATGCAGGTTGCTGAACTAACCAGTAGATCAGGTAATCTTGTGGTTAGTGGACTAGAACTTCCTCAAGGATTTCTCCAAGATCTCTACGACTCTCTCCCAATCCCAACCCCTCCACAACAACCTCTTCAAACACCAGTACAAGCCCCATCTACAAGCATACCTCCCCCTCCTACACTCCAACCTCATTCAGATCCTCCTGCCATGACTATACCATCCCAAACCCCCTCTGCCTTAATGCCACCATCCGAAGTTCCCACTACCGAGACACCGTTGTCCCAAGCACCCTCTGAAGCTGTACCACTTTCCCAAACATCCCCTGAATCCACATCAATTTCTCAAACTCTGCCTGAACCTTCCCAAGCTCCTGTTGAAGTCCTGTCTCCAAAAGTTACATCTGTCCCTACGACTCCACAAGTTGCACCTGTCACTGCCCCCCATTCTCAGTCTCAACAACTCCCCACAGTCCCTGTACAACAAACTATACCACTCCAGTCTATCATAAATCCTAACCTTACTACAAGTTTTGATGGATCTCATTCTTACACACCAGACTATATCCCCTCTCAAGTTCCAGTGTCAGTTCGAATTCCATCCCACACACGTTCTCGTGTCCAACGAGAATTAGAATCGGAGGAGGAAATTATCAGTCTAATGCACACTCCATCAAACAGGCGGAGGCGTCACCATCTCTCAAAACCTGTTTCCCGTTACAGTAGTGATGAGGAAGATGAAGAAGAGTACACTTCGTACCGTCCGCCCAGCAGACGTCATCACTCCAGTTCACGAGGGACAGAACCATCTATTGGTGAACTCGGCTGTCAGTTAGTGCATGCCTGTCAAGGTGTTACAATGAGAGCCTTGTACCAATTGGTGCAGTATGTGGCACCACAGGTGCGTGAGGGGGAGGACAAGAGAAGGGACCTACAGATCGCGCTGTGCATTCTACTTGTGTTGGTTGCAGGACTCATTCTGATGGGTTATGGTTCAGGAAAGACATATCACCACCACCACTGGGATTACCACTTTCTCCCACCTCATCCCTAGTAACATCTGAGAACATAAATTTATGATCCAGCCACTGCACAAAAACAATTTTTTTATGGAATTAGTTATCATTTTATGTTCATTAAGAATACCTTAATTTAATGATTATCATGAAAGAGAAACAGAAAAAGTTTCACACATCTGTTACCTTATTAATGTGTAAATAAAACAAAATGTATTGTTTCAATTCCTCTTCTTTTACTCGCTTCTTTTATTCTTTTTCTTATTTCTACATAAATCTTCAACAGAAAATGGAGATACAGTAACTCATTGTTTGAACTGTTACAATGAGGAAGCCAATGGGTGACCATACTGGAGATTAGCCTGGGGTCACGAACACTTCCTGTCTCTGAAGAACTGCAGCCACAGCCAGGAAGTTTCAAATTTCAGGTTTTGTAGGAACTGTATTTTTATGAAGGAATGGAGATTGCAGTAAGCTTAATGTTTGCTTCTTGCTTCATGCTTGTTTGGCTTACTCTTTGACCCTGATGATGGAGACAATGCGTTCCTTAGAACAAAGATAAACTTCTACCAAACTACAAGGTGCCACATCCCATAACACAGTACTCATCCCAGTCAATGCTGTGAAAACCTCAACTCCAACCTCCTCTGTTTCAGATTTTCCTCAGTTTAGTGTTCAAAACTGCCCCTGGAGAATATTAAATATGTTACTGTATATTTCTTTCCATATTTTTTGATAAACTAAATTCATATGCTTCTTGTAACATTTCTTATCATATATACACAGCTCTCAAACATTGTCACTTGTTAGCACATTAATCGAACAAGCCCTCTTCGTAAACAACCATTTCTCTTCTATCTCTGTGGCTTCCTTTCTGCGAATGGCTTGCAGCTAGAACAATCAAAACAAAATCCATCAATACGTTGCATGTACACAACAGTTTAATAATTCTGTTGTATGATGAGTACTTAACAAGGGAGAAGGATGCACTCCAATTTGCAGTACACGTTGCAGCAGTAGAATGTGATTTTCAAGGTGCTGTTACAGCTAACTGAATGGTGTACAAGGCATGGTTTTGTTGCTAACTGTTCTCTAATCCATGCGGCTGCCTCCAATAGTATAGTTATGGGTGAGCATGGAGAACTGGCTGGTGGCACAACATGTGTTGGTAATTACAAAATTTATTAAGTGCAGGGTGGCAGTACAGATCCAAATGAGATTTACGCATGGGTTTCATGTTGACAAGACACAGCAGAATTCCTTCTGGTAGTATTATCTTACAGTGGATGCAAACATTTCAGAATGTGTTTGTGAGCATTCTGCTGGTAGGTCATGATCAGTTCACACATCGAAGAATGTTGGCATGGTAACAGAAGCAGTGATCACCAGTCAAACTTGCTCTGCTTGACATCAATGAGTGTGTGAAGCTGACCACTCACCTCCAACTAGTACCAAGGTCAAAAACATGGGGATCCATACATCCACTCCCCCATATGTCTTCATGCTATAGTACTTAATTAGTTAAGCACAGGGGAAACTTCACCTTTTTTTACCTTATCTGATCACATAGCTCCATTACTTTCCCCCAGAAACTTGTCTGACCACAACCAAAAGAATATAGCATAATAGAACGGTTTTATAAACTAATAATTTAACATAAGACAGAGACAACTGAAGAGAGTGCTGACAAATACACAACAGAACAAGAAATAAAACAGTCTTACAGCCACTGGTCATTAACACCAAATTAAACACTGAAAAATCAGTTAGTAAAAATGGTTTAAGAATGAGGTCCTAATAAGGGCAGCCCTAATGCTATTCCTTTTAAACCCTTAGCAGCACTAGGAACACACATCCACGCAAATCCTAACAGGCTATAAGTCTTGCCTGTTTCATGGGTGGCCGAACTTAGAATGAACATAAAATGCAGTACTCACAAATAGTTATGTTAATCCAACTGTTTCTGAACAATTCAACATAATCAATGCCTTTCAACATTCACAAATATAACACAGCTTATTTGCCAAATAAATAAATAAATAAATAAATACAAATCAAACACATTATTACATGCTGCAGTGGCACATAACCTTACCAATAACCAAGCAGCAGCATGTGACACAGGGCCCCTTGTCCCCCACACTCCAACCAACACAAATCCAAACTTAAATTCTGAAAGTGTGTACTGCACAGTATGGCAATCTAGCACCAAGGTCGAAAAGGAATTTTCTGTTCACTCACATCTGACAGCTGAGACAGGGAGAGGGAATGAGAAGCTCCACAAAATGGTAGAGTACCATTCCAAGCAACGAGCAGAGGGACATTATCAGCAGAAGAAAAGCATGTGAGAATGGCATGTTAAGCATGAGGGTAAGGGATATGGCATGGGAGGGGCCACAAAGTACAGGGTGCAGCAAAGGAACCTGATGATTTTTAAAATGCATTATGTTGGCCACCCCTGAGGATGAGATGGTGGGAACCATATTATTTGCTAACTTAACTTATGCCAGTGCAGTAGCCATGGAGCAGTGGGTAGAAAACTTCAGAACAAATGCTTCCACATTAAAAAAGAAACATCCAGGTAGTGTACATACAGTGCAATCACCACAGAACATCGAGGCTGTGAGGCAATCACCCATAAGGAGTTGTAGGCATTCAGCCAGGAGATAATCTGTTGCTCTAGGAATATCTGATTGCAGCACGAGGAGAACTTTACACAAGGATTTAAATTTCCATCCTTACAAAATGGTGGTGGTACACGGCAAACTGCAGCACGGTAGCTGAGCATTTCATTGGAATTTTGTCCGATGATGCCATTATCCTTACGACAGATGAAGCACACTTCCACTTATCTGACTGTGTCAACAAACAGAATTTTTGCTACTGGGCAGAGGAAAATCCACAGCAGATCTATCGATGTTATCTTTACAGTCCACATGTGACTGGTTGGTTGTGTAGTGGCAAACTGCAGAGTCATAGGCCCTTATGTCTTTGAAGACAAAGATGGGCGTACAGTTACAGTCACATCTGCTTGTTATGTTGACATATTATGGAACTTTTTCACATCAGAACTGAATTATCATGGAACAGGGCTCTCAACCATATGGTTTCAACAAGATAGTGCAACTGCCCATACAACGAGCATCCATGGAGGTCACTTTGGAAATGTTTCCGGAGCACACTATTTCACTGCACAGTGAGCTTCCATGGCCTGCACATTCACGTGATTTCCCTACCTGTGATTATTAACTTTGGGGATACTTCAAAGCAAAAGTGTACACTTTGGAAGCAAATTTCAGCTATACCAGAAAACATGATGAGGCAACCAATGGGAAACCTGCGAGAAAGATTGAAGAGTGTGTACATAATGATGCGCACCATCTTAGTCATATGCTGTTAAAATGAAATAAACACAGACATAATGAAATGTATGTGGAATAAAATGGCATTAAATTTTGATTTA